GAGGGTTTTGCTGTAGCGTCCAAAAAGTTGCTTGCTCTCAGTTGAGGAGATGCGACAAGAACGCCAGGCATTTTATGCTGGTCTTAGACGCACAAAGCCTGTGTCACACTTAGATTCGACAACTTGACGGCTTGCTGCCGCAGTAAAAGTGGCTGACCTTTGTTTGGGCATGGTTGCAATGCACCGATGACATGCGTGGAGCCAGGAAGAACACATGGCCTGAAGCAACGAGGTGTACCGGAACTGTTTGTGTGGCTCTTGAGGGGTACTCGGCATGCCTCTTGTCAGAGCCATGGGTGCGAAGGCAGTGTCCGTGAGTGAAGGGCTTCAGATTCTGAGACAAATTGAAGTGCAAGCCCGTGGATAGGACAACGTGAAAATGGCCTCTCAAAGCTTGGAGGGAGGCGCTGGGCAAGCAGTTGCCGCACTTGTTTCATTGGCATGCGCGTTCTGACTGCAGCAGAAAATTGCTCGAAGGAGGAACTCATGCCTGGGATCGACATCATAGAATCAAAGTGAGTTTTGCGCAGGAAGTGCTCTCCTGGTTGCTGACAATTTCGGACAGATACTGATGGTAAAGCCCTTACAGTTTGATGGCAGCAGTCTTCTTACTGAACTGCGCCCAACCAAATGGAAAGGGCAGTGCATCGGGGATCCGTTGCTCTTAGTGCTTCTCTCATCCTCTTGTTAGGTTATGTTTGGCGCGTATATTGCAGTCGCGCATCGCTGGCTCGGCTGGAAGAACCTTGTGCCGGCGATCCTTGCCAGGGCCTTGCTCCATGCAGCAAGAGGTTTGGGAGCTCAGACGTTCTGATGTTTTCTCCTAGGTACCACTGGTAGTGGCCGTGCTCACGGCATTGCTGACCATGTATTGGAGCTCTCGACGGAATACTTGCACTCAGAAAGCCGAGGATTAGTTGCGCTCTTGTCAGACAAGATCAGATGCCAAAGAGTTTGAATGTGTGTGTTTGAGGAGGACAGCAAGGTGGGCAGCTTGCAGGCGAGACACTCCACTGCACGGGACCCAGAGCATCGCTGCCAGCCTCCAGATCCTGTCTTGGTCCTGCCAAGGAGCAGGTGCATCAGGTGGATGAGGCTCTGCTGGCAGTTGGTGCTTCGTGGATTTCCCGTCAGACAGGCTGTGCCTGCGTTGATGTGCAGGAAGACATAGATCCGATCTGGACGGCAGATTGGACAAGCCGCGAGGAATCTGGGGAGACAGCTACACTCCCTTACTACACTCTCTTACAGCAAGGCAAAGTTCATTCCTCCTCGTACCATTGCCGCCGGCCTCTGCAATGAGAATCCGTGCCCACAACAAGCGATTTTGCTTGTCCCGGTTTGCGCGACATTTTCGACATGTAGAGCTTGCGGGAGTTTCTGTTCATCAGTCTCATGGTCTGATCGACCAGGAGAGGGCGGAGGCTGCGAAGAAGCTGCAAGAAGCAGAGCCCCCTCGCAAGATCGAGGCAATGTTCTCAGTCATACGTGAAGATTCATGATGCAGCTGTGCGCATTGTCATGCTTACCAGTTTAAGAGATCTCGGAAGTGCAGGTGTTCGATCTCAACGACACTCCAACCTGGCTAGCGCAGATGCAGAAGCGCCGTGAGCAAGCCCAGCGTGCCGGAAAGGACAAGTCAATCCGGCTCGTCTTGATGGAAGAACGAGTGAGAGCAGCAGACGTATGTGAGCTGGAACCCTGAGTGGCAGGCTCGTCCAAAAGTTGGACAAAGAGATCGAGCAGGCTATGAGCAAGTCCCTCACAACCAAGCGAGGTCGCTGCACTTCGCACCGCCAGTACCGGAACGTGGAAGCCGTTTTTTGTGCCAGGCCCTGAGCTTCGGGCAGGCCACGAGGCCACCGAGGTGCAAAGAGTTGTAAAGTAAGATTTGGAAGAGCGAAGAGGAGGCTTTGAGGGAGGTGTAAAGCTTTGCAAGGCAGAGGACGACGTCTGGAACATGGATTGGTCGAATTGGAGATCCATGGAATCCTTACCGCAAGCGGTAGCAGCCGCATGATGCCAAGCCAGGATTTTTTATACAGACCATTAGCCCGACCCTGGCCCCTGGCCCCCACTACAGCAAGCTGTCAAGTACTGGCTTCCAACTTAGCAAGTAGCTAAAAGATATTCTTGGAACATGCTCAGACAGATGGCCAGGGAAAGCAGGTGCTATCAGGTCAGAATCGTCGAACATAGTCAGCTTGCTTGAAATGAAGGCAATACACCGACTGTTTTCCCCCTGTGCTGGCACAACAGAGTCCTGGAAATCAGAGGCCTGCCTCCATGAATAAGGTTGTTTAAGTCGCACAGAAATATCTAACATCCTCATATGCAGCGTTTGAGGCAACTCCGATGCAGATAGAGTCTATGCCTGTTCGGTGACTGCAAACCACGCTGCCTATGCGAGACGTCACCAAATGCTGACACCCGCAGGGGCAGATTGCAGGCCTCACAGCGAACTCCAAGCACATTTCGTCCGGTTCTCTGAAATTAGCTGCAGGTATTGCCTGAAAGACAACCAGAGGACGAAAAGGCATACTTTCATGTCAGTTTGTTCGGGTGTTGTTGCCATTATGTTGCTGCATGTCTCTCACTAGTCTAAGACTGGCATCGAGTTTGAGTCTCACAGCCTGCCAGCATGATGGTGAACAGCTGGGATGGGTTTCAGCGTGGCAGTTCTGCTGACCACCTGCGGCTAAGGGTTCAGCATGCAAACAGCCAAACCCCGCAATGAGTGTCTTCACACTCCCAAGTTTTTCAGTGTTTCAAGAGGAGGACAATGGAGACCTTGCACCCCAAGCCTGCCGAGCGCTTGAACTTGTGCTTAGGTTGTGACAGGAAACCTCTTGTCCTAAGAATTTTGCCTCCTGATGCTGCGCAGCATAAGCATGCCTCTTCGACCTGCTCAAGATGTGGTAGTGTGTATGGATTCACATTGGCCTTGGCTCTTTGGGCAGCTGAGTTTGCCAGGTCCTCAGAAAGCGTGAGCCCTCCGGCTTTCAGATGTGCCTAGCTGGCTAAGGTGAAGATCCTGGACTAGTGATTTCCTGCAAGACTTCTTGCCAAGGACAGCGCTCCTTCGTAGAAGCTGATAGATGGTGGGCATGATTGAGAAATGAACCAACCTCGAAACATGGACGGGCCGAACGGTGTGCACGCGCGCTTTGGGCCCAAAGCCCCTCTGTTTTTAGGGCGTGCGTGTTTGCCATGGCAAGTGACAAGGGTCTGGAGGGAAAGCAGGCCTCCTCGCTTCTGGCATCCCTCGAGCGCGAGCGCAATGATCGTGCTGCCATGACTCGCTCGCTGACTGATCAGCTTTCGGGTCTTCGGCGTCTGGAGCGCGTGGCATTGGCAGGGGCTGATTCTGCTCGTTTAGCGCAGCTGAGCCAATTGCGGCGCAAGATGTTGCAACATTGCCTCGACATGCCCACTGTGGCTTGCGAAGAGGAGGCGGGTCCCTCCGAAAAGGGCATAGATTCCTTGCTGCGGGATGTGCGCCACTGGCATGCAGAACTGAGACAGCTGCACGCAGTGGATAAGGATAGATTGTCTGGATTCCCAGGCGCTCTAACTCCGCTTTCCACAGAGATTCGATCGCTTCGTCGTATCTTGGCAGAGCAGGAGGAGCAAAGGAAGGATGCCGAAGAGCGGCTGCAAACTCTTCCGAGACGGATTCCGGCAATACACCCAGTGCAAAGCGAGTCGCCCAAGCCGGGCTTCAATGTGAGTGTGGCTGCTGGCATACGCCTAGCGACTCAGCAAAGATAAAACAAGTGATGGACACAGGCCCCTGCCAGCTTCAACCAGTGCATCCCAATTGTGTGAGCCGCAGATTGCTGCAGGATGCCGCCACATGCTGCAGGCAAAGTAGCCAGAGGCCCAGAGCCAGCGCTCCTGTTGTGTGAACATCTCACGAAGAGGGAGGGAAGGGAAGACGTGGAGAAAGGGGTCCGGATTGGTACATGCATGCAGGCAATGCAGGAAAACATGCCAGCTGCCCGCAGATTCCCATCCGCATTAGCATCATACACATAATCATTAGCATTGGCCTGTTAATACACCATCTCCAGCATTGTGTACCCTCCTCATCATGATGTGAATGGCAATGGTTAATTGATGAATACGGCGACAATGACAACAATACTGACATCATCAACATTACCTTCGCCATCATCTTCGTGCAGGTTTTCATGCTCACTATCATCACCATCATCACTGCCATGACCATGATCACTGGCATCACCATCATCATCATCATCATCAGCAGCAGCAGCAGCAGTCTCGTCATCGTCATTGTGCTTGTCGTTCGCGTCGTCTGGATCTTCATCCCGTCCGCCTTTGACTTTAGCATCGTTGTGGAACTTGCTACTGGGAAGACGGGCTCTTGAGGTCCTTGCGGCGCTTTCGATGCTGGAAGCGTGAGATATTCTTTGCGGACACTTGATGCTGCAGTTGAAGTTCAGCTGCCGTTATGTATTTCTGGGAGACTGGGAGTGAAGATTTTTTGAGGCGCTGCAAGCCAAGAAGGATTTGTAAACCATGCATGTCACTCATAAAACGGGTCCTTATGGTTTGATTCCAGTGTAGTGTTGTTTTGGCATGCAGTGCACGCACCCTGGTGAGCATGACTGGCTTTCCGTATTTGAGAAGCAGCCGTCAGTACTTCTATACGGATGCACGTGGCAGACCAAGCCGTGTAAACTGATGGTTAATTGCACGTTTAGGGATGCCCTTTCGCTGTGTGGAGTGTTGCCAATAGCGTCACCACCCATGCAAAAGGATGCTGCCAACAAGGCCAAACCGAAGGAGTGTTGACGAACGCTCGCACGATTGTAGTGGCTATGTAAGCTACATGCTTGCTTTATTTTGCTTTGGGCACTGAGCGTCAAAGAAGGTATCCTCTCAGCATAGTGTGATGCGGTATTCCAGAGGTTTACTTTCACCCCTTTTTCTATGGCTTCCACAAACGCTCGACATGAGCTGGCTGAGATATGAACCAAGTTGCTGCAGATTCAGAGATGTTAGCCGTACGTATCATGGACACCTTGCCGATGAAGTTTCGCACAAGTTCGCATAGCGAGCGGCAGCGGAAGTGACATCAGAAGAACAAGAAAAACAACAAAAGACGACAGCGACATCCGTTTCGAGTGGTCCAGAAAGGGGCATGGCACGTCGGTCCCCCAAACCGTGTGATCCAGCAGATTTGTAGCCAGGGCCTATGCGCACCGCAGTGAGGATCAGGCTGCGAGTGACAGTTCAGATGAGGGACAGCCAGCCATGGATGTTGTGTGCAGAATGTCTAATGCATTGCGCAAGGACGCATTTCAGTAGGTCACAGAGGCATATCGGACTAAGCGACTTGTTTCGGCAGTAAAATGACTCTCTCTCTCTCTCTCTTTTTTCTGGCGGAAGAGGAGTTGCTGACGCAGGTCAGAGGTCATGACTAGGAACGCAGGATTCAATCCGGTTCACAATGCCGCCATGGGTTTGCTTTGCACTGTGAGATGTGTGGGCGTGCTGGCAAGATTGCTCTGGTGTCTGCTCTTGTTTGAAGATGGCAGAGCCATGGCTACTCGGTCCCGTGACGGCTTCTGTGTTTTTTTCTTGTGGTCGTATGGTTGATGTTAGTTTGGTTGTTCTCCCCGCAAACGACAAGGTGGCACAGCCAGACTTGCACAATTGGATACCTCACATGAGACCGCGGACGGCACATACTGGTGACCTGCGAGAGTTAATGCAGAGGTACAGAGCCTTGGTTGAGAAAGCCGCAAGCATGCAATCAACACCACCAAAGAGCCTCTGTGGAACACTGAAAGTGATGCAGTGCTTTGCCTTCAGGGGTGGTGGTGCTGATGACCAGCATCCCCAGCCGAATCGACCGCGTTGAACCCGTAATCGACTCCATGCTCGCGCAAAGCTGGCCGGCAGACGCTTGAACACAGATGGCCTTGATATGGTATGGTAGGACGCCTTCTTGTGAAGGGCAGCTTCGTTTGGCTGTAAAGTGTACAAGCCCAGGAGATCTACATGAGCGTGCCGTACATCTACAATCGTACGGGGGAGGCATACAAAATTCCGGCGTGGCTGCAAGCGAAGGCAGGAATCCCTGGTTTTCATCTGGTTCGCTGCACGGATTTGGGGCCCGGGACCCACCTCTTGAATGGCCTTCGCCTGGAGCAAGATCCATGGACTTTCCTGGTTGTTGTGGATGACGACCACATTTACGGTACCTGGTCTCGCAGATCTTACCAGATTTCAAGCTTAACTTGACACTGTCTGAACGTTTTTGAAGATCGTCTGTTCTATTACTAGAAGTGGGGTTAAGCCGTATCGCCCTGCAAAAGTTGCATCGTGTCACGGAACAAAGGTTTTTCCGATTAGCCACAGGAGCTATGAGTGTGGTGACAGTGGAGTTGGACTAGCTAAAGCAAAACATGTACTCACAACATTTGGGCTGGGATGGTGGCGCATGAGTAGGGTAAAATCCTGGAACGGCGCCTGCTTCATTAGCTTTTCCGATGATATTGCGGACCTTGAAGGATCAGGCCTCGGTGTCAATGGGCTGCTCTTGACCAAGAGCACTCGATAAGATCGCATCTTGTTGCAGGGTCTGGGGAGCATCCTTCAAATCTCTTTTTGAGCCAGCTTTGTGCTCAAAAGTTCTGAGGTCCAGAGCTGGTGGAGCAGCTGCTGCGGGCAGCACTCGGGAACCCTGGCAGTGCCATAGCAGCTCAGGGCTTCCTCTCAGTTCCCGGGCTTCTCCAATCAGATGAGCTTCGCTCCGTGCAGGAGCAAGGCGACGCATTTGCATTCAGCAAGTAAAAGCTTAGTATTCATATACCCTTCGTTGAACGCAACCTAGTTCGCATGCCATGACTTGCTACACTCCAGCGAGGTCGTGTTCAGCAGAAAAAACCATGAAGTGCAAGCAGAGCACATTCAGCAGAGAGCAACCTAGCTTGGCTTTGTTGCGCTCGGAGGTGGCGAACGCCCCAGATATTTGCAGGATCAGGGCTTTGCAGCTGGACCTGTGCTTGTTAGCTATCTGGGCGTCTGGCCTGCACTAAGCTTTGCTCACATGAGGCACATGGGGTCTCCACCAAGGCATCCCATTTGCTGAAATTGCTGCAGGTGTTGTGTACCAGCGCGGCTTCTTTGATGATACCGTGTACTCCTACAGTAGCGACTGCCAGCAGTGCCGCTATCAGGCTCGACGGGGCTGGACGAATCTCGACTTGCCAGAAGCCAGGTCATGCTAACACCCGCCAGGATGACATGTGGTTTTCCGCGCACCTCGCGCAGAAAGGCATACGCCGTCTGGTTCTTGGAGCCGCGCTCGGTGTGCAGGACTTTGCAAGCATTTTGGTGTGATGTGTACCTGCTGCAAAAGCTGCTTTCCATTTCTGTAGGAGCTGACAGAAATGCATCTCGGCCCTGAGTTCGAATCTCAGACATTCAGGATCTGTGCGCTCTTCGCCTTTGTGAGCTCTCCAGCTTCAGGTCCCTTACTTTCTGGAAAGAAAACAAACCTCGGCAGATCAGCAGCCAGTTCGCAAAGGATTTACCGTCCGGTCTTGGGCTGAGCTGACAGCAAGTACTTGAGGTGACGACTGCAACAAGGGCTTGCTGTCCGTTCCCGAGATGTTGCTGAATCAACTTGAGATCCTTTTGTCCTCTTGCCCTCATGATACGAGAACCAAGTGCTTCATGCGCCTTGGTGCCCACTATCTTGTTGACCTGGGCAGATTCAGAACTCTCTGGGAAAGACAGACGGCATCGTTTGCTTTGACATTTTGTTTACGTGCAAAGGCGTTCCAATAGACACCTCTGGGCTTTTCGGCGGCGAGTCGTGCTTGCCATTGCTGGGCTGCCGCTGCTTGGCGATGCAATAGGCAAACGTGTGGCCGCACAAGGAAGGGCTTCTCATCTGCCTGGACCATTGAGGCCGGGGACGTGGCCCTTTCCAAATGAGGCCTTGTCAGGGTTTCAATGCCTTTCTAGCAGCATCAATAGCATTTGGGGGCGCCAGCGCTCCAGCGCTCCAGCGGGTGAGGTGCCTTCAGACTGGGTTCCGGCACTGGCGGCCTTTGCCAGGCCTTGGCATCAGTTTGGCAGTTTGGCAGTTTCTACGGACGTGGTGCATGGCCGCATTGCAAGGCTTCCGAAGCCCCCTGACTTGACTTACCTTTGCACTAGTGGCTGGGAAGAGGCATCACTTCATTTGATGTATGAGATATCAGGCTTGATGTGTTTGAATAGGCTTTCTCGGCTTACTTGAGCTGCTTTCTGGAGGCTGGACAAACCGCTGGCTTCGCGGTTGGGAGTTTTGTCTACACACGAAAGCCACTTCAGCTGGACTCCGTCTTGCATTTCAATTTGTACACAGTCAGGAAATCCTTCATGCTTGACACCATCCTGGCAACTGGCTCGAGCGTGCTGGCCTTTTTCCCTGCAGCTTCAGTACTGAGCAATCCACCAAGCCCGCCCAGGCCTGTGAGGCGCACGCTGAAGCCAGGATGTCGCAGCTGATGCGCGATCCCCTGCTCCTCGACCCAAAGAAAAACGTGAATTGAGTCCTACGGCTCGCAAAGTCAACAGCGCTTCAAACTTCATATATTCTTGACAGCATGAGGCTGTGGGAAGGAGACCCCAACACGGTGTTGTGCCCGGATGCATCGTTCGATTTTCCAGAGCAACTGTAGGGCCACAATGTTTTGAGAAGGTCCTCATCATGGGCTCTCTCCAACTATTGGAGGACTGCGGCACTTTCAACTCATCTGCGATTTCTGAAGGTGGCCTCATCTCAGACGTGCATAGAGCATTGCCGAAGCTGTTGCAAGATCCGAAAAGCAGAATATGTGTATATATGTATATGTACATATATACACATGCATATCTCTTCATCTAGATTTATGTTATAAGTGTTATGGTGCAATGGAAGGTCCCTTGGAACCTTAGGTTCAAATCGAGGTTCGAACCCAGAACCTCTTGATTCCTCTGAGGAGGGTCCTAAACCCTAAATTCTAAACCCTTACCTTCGAGGATGATCCAACAGGCTTCTGGGAGGTGGCCGAATGCCCCGCGGCTGCACTGCTTGCATCAGTGGGTGCTGGGAGACGAATCATGGGCAACTAAAGAATCTTGAATTCTGCTTTAGCAACAATGACAAATGGAGAATCATGCGGAACATAAACCGGAACATGAAATGGGCAACACTATTAGGGCTTAGGGATGAAGCCCAAATGGAAAAAGGGAGGGGGTTTACCCCAATTACAATCAAATGGAAAAGACTATAGGCAATGTCAATCCGCAAGGTTACGAAGACGCCCCAATTCATGCGTAAAGTTTCAATGCGTCTACCAAACTATCGAGGAATATATTTTCCCCAATAGTTTAGCGCATTGCTGGAACGCAGGGCTCATGGGCACCTGGCGGAGTTAGCACTGGCGTTGCTGATTATGGCGGCAGGGTTCGGAGGAGCGGTATTCATTACATCGGTAGCACTTCAACCTGAATTCTTTCAACCTGGACCCCAAACAAGCCAAAGCAGCTTTCCTGGTGAACGCTTCTCAGGTGCCGCCAGCATGTTCGATGCTGCTGCTGAAGAGGCGGAACTCGAAGCGCCACCTGGCTCTGACTGCAAAAAGAAATCGGTTTGGTAGAGGATAGTATTAGTTATAGTAATATTATGAATAGCAATAATTTGCGTAATAACAGTGCGGGCTCATCGGCACAGAGATTCAGGTGAGGTGCACCATTATTCGCTGGCAAGGTCTATTTAAGCACTTCATGGGGCCGCTGGCCGTTGATGTTTTCCGCACGCAGTGTAGATTAGTTTCCCTTGTTTCGACCCAAGGAGGAAGCTCCGCCCTGCTCCTGGAATTCGAAACTGCGAGCATTTACCTGCATTCCCATGCATTCCTGCTGAGAGCCTAGGCGACTTAAAGCAGAAAGTCTTGGCGACTGAGACTGCCAAGGTGGGTGACTCAGTTACAAATTTAGGCGGCCTGCCGCACTGTTATGGCAGGTTGCTGACGAGGGCGTCTCGCAGCAATACGGCCTCAACCGCAGTCGCTTACAGTCCCTTGCTGCCGCGGCAAGCGTTTCTTGGAGCCTGTAGGGTTTGACGCTCAGGCCACATAATGCTCAACATGATGTTTCGACAGCGTGGAGACTCCCACGTCCTGGGGGACATCGCTTTGCCAAGGCTTGCCAAGCGCAGCTAGGTGCCGGCAGGCTGCCTACTTGGGGATAGCTGGCCTTTGCGAAGAATGAAGACTGCAGGTCGCAGAAACAAGGCGAGCATGTTTGGCCGTACTGCCGCATGGGCGACTGGGTGGCTGCCACTGCCGCGGCCTTGTTGGCAAACCGGCCATTTCGATCCAAGCTTCCGGATGTGGCAGGTTGGTGCCTTCACTGCGGGCTAGACTGCCGACGGTCGTTGGCATAGCTGTTAATGAGTTAATGCTTGGCCGTCTCATGCTGTCCCTCGGGAAAGATGGTAAAGTCCAGCATTGAATAATGGACTGCATTGATCACAGAGGGACAAGGTGAGCTGGCCGTCCAGCGCAATGCTCGCGGGCCAAAGACGCAAAACCGCAAAACCGAAGTTCGCCCTTGGGACCTTGTGCCGTTCTTTAGTCGCCTCTGGAGAGCGTGGCTCAAAAACATGATCAACAGTGCGGGCCAAGTACTCTTGAAAGGCGTTAAACCGGCTAGTAGAATCTGGAAGAATCTTGTAGTCTGGCGATGGCATGCGTTGCAAATGAAAGCAATTCTTCAGAGAGATGCCCTGAAGATCGACAGCAGAAACCATCAGCAAACTATGGGCAATGACCACCGGTCATTTAGTGAATTCAGCGCTTGGCAGCAACAACCAGCCAGCAAACATCGGACACCACGAAGGCTGTTCTGAGTTGGGGGGCTGACCGCGCTTGGCCAGCCGTTGCCCTGCCATGGCTCGGGCTCTAGGGCTTTGTCTGCTAGGGCAGGCCTGCACAGCGTGATCTAACAACCCCTCAGTTGTGAAGAGGTCTTGGATGGGAGGCCCCGCGGGTCAACACGAATTTGGTCTGTCACGGGCCTGTCCAATTTCAGCCATTGTAGATTCTTCTACCAAAGTCACTTCAGACCCCTTGTGATTGCAGCTGTGAAATCATTGCAGTTATCTGGCATCACAGAAGCATGTCACTGCGGGTCTAGGTAGTATGCCCAATGATGGAGATTCAAATGGAAAAGGACACGGGCGATGAAACGGAAACTGGGCAGAAGTAGCGGTTTTTAAGATGAACATTTCTCACAGAACCAGAAGATGGCCAACATCTGGTGGGTCACAGAGGCACGGGTCTGAGATGGGTTTTGCAGAAATTAAGAAATTGAGAAAACCCCACCAACATAGTTTCGCGTAGCTTTCGTAGACCCCTACCTGAGATGAGAAGGGTCATGACTGCTCTTTGTGACGCGGCACTGCCACTCTGCCGTGCCAGACCTTCGGAACCTCTACGGCTTCCGAGGCGACGCAATGCACCAGATGTGCAGCTGCAGTTTTTCGTCGCTACAGTAGGGCCCTGAGTCGCAGGTACCTCGAGGTCATCTGCAGCCTTTTGGCAGCTGGCAGGATGGGGAGCCTGTGGAGGAGCCTCCAGCGGTAGAGTCAAATGGCAACCCTCATGGCAATACAGGCAATGCAGCCGCTGAGCTTAGATCCGCATTGTCCGGCTGTTCAAGATCCATGCGAGAGCAACACAGCGAACAACTGCAAACCATGCTAACGCCAACCATGTTTGTGACCCCGTACCTGATGTGAGTATGGAGAAGGCGTTATCCAGCTGAAGCAGGCCTGTCTGGAATCTGACAACAGCAGGCAGGCCGACTCACGATGCGCTTTCATGCCCTCTTTCATGCTTGTTTCCTGCACATGGTGAGCACTTAGACCCTGCTGTACTGACCACATGCAATGTCGGCCTCCAGAGACTGGTCAAAGCTGCCAGTGTCCAAGGCGCTGATTGCAACTGACATACAAGCCACAGGGGACCTTGGTTGCCTCATCCAGGGTTTGAAGCTGCAGAGCAGCGCACTTGCCAGTGGATGCTGACTGTAGGAAATTCCTTGCCATGGTAGCAGAATCCCATGTCCGCATAAGTCGTCAAGCATGTGGGTGAGCTGTGTATGCGTGTGTGAGTCATTTTTTACGTGTTGGGGTATGTCGATCTACTGTGCCAAAAGTGCCAACAGCAATGACCCACGTCAGGGCACGCACCGCTTCATCAAAGAGATGGGGTTCAAGCGCATGACCCCAGTGCAGGCTATTGCAGTTCCACTTGTTCTCAACCAGCGAGATGTGGCGGTTGAGGCTGAGGGGCTGAGGGGCTCTATTCAGCAGCAGTTTACGGCTGACATGACAACACCAGGAAGCAGTAGCTAGGAAGACATGCAAGGGCTGTTTCAGACATGGTCTTGCATGGTTGTTGCCCCTGACAGGCTTGTACTGGTTCAGGCAAGACTCTCGCCTATCTCATTCCCACCTTTGAAATCCTCTGCCGAACGCTGAAGAATGATGGCGTCAGCCGAAGACCTGGCAACGACTCACTTGCCGTGGGGACAGCAATCATTTCGCCAACGCGTGAGCTGGCCACTCAGATCTACGAGGTCTTTGGATCGTACTTGACGGCAGCTGCAAAAGCGGACGACGGCGAAGGTCTCAGTGCGCGACTTGACCGGCAGCTCTGTGTCGGTGGATCGGAGGCCAAAGCCGCGGCCGCTGCCCTGCGCAGAGCTGCAGTCGCCGAGGAGGGCGAGCCCAAACTACACCTCGTCTCAGCAACTCCTGGAAGACTCCGGGCGCTCATGGCGCTTTCAAACAGCCCCTTGAACCTCAAGACACTGGAGTTTCTTGTGTTCGACGAGGCAGACCGCTTGCTACAGCTGGGTTTCTCTGTCGATATTGAGGCTGTGCTTTCAGCAGTGCCGAAACAGCGCAGGACCGGTCTTTTCAGCGCGACGCTCACTACAGAGCTGCAGCGCATTATGAAGACGGGCATGCGCAACCCAGTGCATGTCTGTGTTCGTTTAAAGCGCCCTGGGCAGGAAAGCATACAACCTCAGCAGAAAGTGCGCAAAAAGGGTCCTGAAGCTATCGCAGACGGAACTGTGGAAGACGCTGCGGAAGAGACCAAGGACGAGAGTCGCCCAGTTCCAGGTCATGAGCTGCCAACAAAGCTGAGCAACTATTATTTGCAAGTCCCAGCGCCGGAACGCTTGGGGTTCTTACGTCACTTCTTGCGCGCTCCAGAAGTCCGTAGCCACAAGACTATCGTTTTCTTTCTGACCTGTGCAACCGTAGACTACTTCCATGTTCTTCTGCGTGACCTTGTGGATGGAAGGAGCGGGCTCAAGAACAAAGCCTGCTCCCAAAAAACCGCGGCGCCACGCTCATTGCGAATAGAAAAGCTCCATGGTCAGATGGAGCCTACAGCGCGTGCAAGAGCATACGAGAAGTTTTGCAAGAGTCCGGCCCACGAAGGTGCAGTTCTGCTTGCGACAGATGTGGCAGCGCGAGGTATTGATGTTGACGCTGTGAAGTGGATTGTACAGGTTGATCCGCCAACCGATCCAGCAGCATTTGTTCATCGCATTGGAAGGACAGCTCGAGCTGGGCAGAGTGGAAGAGCTGTTGTCCTCTTGCTTCCGCACGAAGATGGATATATGCCTTTCCTGGAGAAACGGGGGATTCAGCTTGAAGAGTTGCCCGAGGAACTGCGAAAACCCCAAACGAATGGCGCTGATGACTTTGCGGAAACGACGCTGAGCAGATGTAAACGCATGGTTGAGACCGACAGAGCTGTCATGCTCAAGTCCACCAAAGCGTTCTTGTCCTTTGTCCGGGCGTACCAGGAACACCAGTTGCCATATTTGTTTCCATTTAAGAGCTTGGACATCGGCAATCTGGCGACCGGATACTGCCTACTAAGACTGCCCCGCATCAAGGAAATCTTGGGCAAGCATGTCAGAGGGTTCCAGCAGAGTGAGGCTGGCGGCCTAGAAGGACTTGCATTACCGTTGATCAATTGATTCATCGATTCAACCTTTTCTTGAAACCCATGGCCTGGCACATCCAGGTCCACCCTGCAGACGTTCCTTTTCGGAGTGCGCAACAAGAAAAGCTGCGGCAGGACCGCTACCATGCTCAGGGACGATTACCAGGCATACAGGCATGAGATGGCGTGAGAGGTTCTTCCCTGTTTCAGGAGAAGTTGGCGAAGGAGCGGGAGGAGCGCGAGCGGAACAAGGTGCGTGTTCAGCGCAGGGTGTTTTTTTTTTGCATGGCCATCTTTCTTAACCTGTCTGTCCTTGCCTGTTGCTGTGCACGTTTTCCTGGTTTCATTTGGTTTCCTGGATGTGGTTGAGGTATGGTTACATGAATTCATGGGATGGGGGCTAGATCTGCCACGCAGGTTTGGCAATGCTCCCTGTCATGCTTTCTCACCTGCCATGCGACTGCAGATGACAACTAGGTAACGAGGGCGAGAACAGATGGGGCAACGGCTGCTGCCCACGTTGCAGCAACTGTCCATGTTGGAATCGAATGACAGTCGTTGACTTGTTCTGCTTGATGGAGCCAAGTGGCCGGTCTTGCACCACACGCTTGACGTTGAGTGCGGCAGGAGGAGGAGAAGAAAGCGCAGCTGGCCAAGACCAGGCAACTCATGAAGGTCCGGAGGCTCAGAGCAGGTTGTCTCGGTCCCGCGTCAACGAATGCATTGCAGCTGCATTTTTGTCAACTTTTGGAGGACGCTGCCAAGGCCGAGAAGGAAAGGACCAGGCCAGGCTTCTGAACACAAAGCATCCTCTCCAGCGTAGATTTTTCATAGGGGTCGGATATGGGCAAAATGAAATCAAAAACCTTGAGCTTGAAATTCTATGTTCATCCATTCTTCCTTCAAGATTTTTATTCTTGGGTATTGTGGTTGTCTGCAGGATTTTATTTCGTGCCTATTGCTGGCTCGGATGGAAGTTGGACCGAAAAACTTATGGCAGTAGATGGGGCTCACTTATCTCCTGATTATTGTTTGTTGCATGCAGTTTGAGGGTTAGGCCCACAGGATTTGATTTCGGTGCACCGGGGGCTCACTTATCTCATGATCATTGTTTGTTGCATGCCGAAGAAAGGGGCCATGACAGTCGAAATATCAAGTCATTATGGTCATTGTGATCCGAGGGTTCAGAGGTCAAGATTACATCGTGGAGCCAGGTGGCCACCATGGAATTTATTATTTCTTACTGGTTCCCCGGACACACTCGCATCTAGCTCATTGTAGCCCTAGGAATACACCATGATCACCATGGATGTTATGGAGCATAATGTAACGTATATGTAACAACACCTGGAAATGAAAGCCTGGGGGCGGGTTAGGCCAGAAGGATTTTATTTTGGGCCAGGTTCCTGGAAATACAAGCCTCTTGTAGCCCTAGGAATACACCATCATGACCATGGATGTCATGGAACATAATGTAACATATGTGTAACAAGTGCCTGGAAATGAAAGCCTGGGGGTGTTAGGGGAGGGTTAGGCTAAAAAGGATTTTATTTTTGGCCAGGTTTCCAAACCGTTTCTATGCCATTCTATGCCTAAATACGGGTCTAGCCCACCCGTACCCCAGCACTCATGCCATCAAATCCTGCTGCACTGACCCCTGGGTCAAGCCTCCTTGTTTTCATCTGCCCCTGGCCACGGACAACCCCAAAGAAAGCCACAACAGACAGAAAACAAGCAGAAGCAAGCACTTTCAAACTCGTCACTTCATGACCCTCAAGCTGTCTGACATGAAATCCTGTGGCCATGACCTTTGTGTCCTGCCCTCACGATTTTATTTGTTACTGGTTCTTCGGACAAACTAGCATCTTGCCCATTGTAGCCCTAGGAATACGCCATGATGACAATGGATGTTAGGGAACATCATGTAACATATGTGTAACAAGCGCCTGGAAATGAAAGCCTGGGGGCCTTAGGGCAGGAGCCAGAAGAGAAAGATCATTAACTCCGTAGGTTTTCGGGGCCAACACTCCGAAAATTGTTTTGGTTATCTGGGTAGGTTCATGGGTTAGGCCCTCAGGATTTTATTTTGGGTGTCCGGTCCACGCCAAAGCCCATGAACACTGAAAATCAATGATTCGCGAGGGCCTAGACCCTCGGACACATATTCCTGTTTGCCCCTCAGGCACCAGGAATTTGTCTGGATAAAATCCTGGGCACAACCCCCCCAAAAGTGGCCAACGGGTATCTTTTCCCAGGACACAGAAGCGTCAGGCAAAGCGAAACGAAAAGGCTGAGCAGTGGAGAGCTCTTGCGGCTGAGGAGCCTCATTTTGTAAAGCCTGGAGCTTTCGGGAAGGTCTGAGCTGGCAGTTCAACCTTTCCAGATCGTCCCAGGAGTGTTTGGCCAAGAAGCTGCGAAAAGGTAAGATCTCAGCCACGCAGTTTGAGCCACGGCCTAAGTTTTGTAGCTTGTATGAGGATGTATGAGGCTGTTTGGCAGGAGCAGTTCTGAAATGGACCAAGGTCCAAGGTGAAGAGGCTGAGCAGCCAGGCTCACGGAGCCAAAATGCTGCGAAGTTCTACTATAGACTGTCGGCATCCACGTGCCACCGTCCGTCTGTTCTTGAATCAAAAGAGACGGTGGCAGCGCGCGAGGCAAAGGACGATGAGGCAGATTCGGACCTTGAAAGTGAGGCCCCTTCTTTCATTCCGCATGCTTGAGTTCATTGCCCAGTGCTGCGTCTGGGATCTTCTGATGAAAGTCGTGGGTGGAGCATACAGACTTGAATCATGCAGGAGGAGATGGCGGAGGAGAGTGATGAGGCGGGTCCGACGGCCACTGCAACAGCAGATTTCAGGACTTCAGGCCTGCGGTGCATCGTTTGATAGATCGACTTGCACAGGATGCTGAAAAGGACAAGCCAATTGATGCTAGATACGCGATCCAGAGGAAGAAGAGGCGCAGTTCGATGCATCTGATGATGTCGACTCCAGCCGGGTCAGGGATTCTACCGCCTTGCCTTGTCAAGGAAGCGTGGTAAGTCCAAGAAGGGCTAAGCTTCCGTGCCGAAGAGGCGCGCAACTCATCGAGAGGTGCTTAGTTCATTCAAGTCTCGACGCTTGAAATCATTGTGCAGAGTGTGTTTGTTGGCGATGAAGTGTAAATTCGCGTGCTTCTTTGGCTCGGACGACGTCGAAGGCCACAATGCATTTGTGAAACATACTCCTGTACATGCTCGAGGCCGCAACTGCCGACCGTTTCAATAGGCAAGAACATGCACTATAATCCATCAGCATGCAGTGCCCGGATGAAGACCCACTGCATCTCACACAAAGACCGGCACGTTCCCTGGCCGCAGCCCTTAATTTCTTCCGAGCTATGGCGCTGCCGATCACGTTGTCCTCGATGAGTCTGGCCACTCACCCAAATGCGCGTGATTCTTTCAGCAGAGCTTGCAGCGTTAAGCAGAACTGTTCACAATTAAAACAATGTTTTGGAAGTGCGCTGGCAGATGTTAGGCAAGTGCAGCCAAGCTTGCCAATGGACAAATACCGAGCGCAAGGCGCAATGGAAATCAGTTCCAGCTTGGGTTGCCATGGGCGTGCAGTGGAGCTGTTGAAGCGTTCAGGCAACTCCCCTCGCACAAGGATGCCTTCAACCCGCGACTCTATGCTTCCCCGCTACACTCACGGCAGCTTGTCAAGTAATCATAAATGAGAAGTTCCTATCAGGGTTTGTTGGCTGGTGCCTGCGGGTCCAGTGCCAAGCTATGCGGCACGTGAACAAGAAAAAAAAATATATATATATAAAAGTAAGTATATATATATATACATATTCTGTATATGTATATATATATATGCGTATGTAAAGCATGTGTTGTGACCTGGAACTCCCGGGTCGCATTGTTGCCTGCTCCCAGCCTTTGTCAGGGTTGTGCTTCGATTTTGTCTCCTAAGGCCGCAGCCCACTGTAACCACTGTGCTGAGACATGACCATCGAGTTGTCGTTCAGCACTCCAACCCAAATAACCCAACTCCAAGCTTCCAACCTGGCGCTGCACTTGCTGGTGCCACCCCAGTCTCTGGTCCACTCCCGTGCAATGCCACACTTGGGCACAAAGAGATGCACACAGCACCGGCAACAAAGCAGCTCTCCTTCAAACCTCCAGCAGAGCCACCCCAAACACAACATCAACTCACGCCTGCATCGCCTGCCTGGTCAAACACTGTGCCTAGAGCATCCTCGCAGGATCGAGGCCGGCCCGCATCAATACAACGGAGTATGCCAGTGGCCAACCCTGGGGCCGAACCCAAGTCCCTTGAGCCTGCCCAGCAGAATCGAGAAGGCGATCGCTGGCAAAATTTGCAGAAAGAGCCCAAGGAGGTTCGTTGTTTCGAGGCGCGTGCCCGGACGACCTCCCCATCGCAAGGAGCGGGAGCGAAAACCTGCATTCGACCTGCAAGGGTTTCTAACTCAGAGCCCTGGAGTAGCCCTGGCAGGTAATGAAAAGGCATGCGCGAAGGCAATCTGATGGGAGCTCTCCACAGAGCACGTGCGTTGCCGAGCCTTGGATGATAAGTCCATTGTGTGGGGCCTACTGCTTGCAGGCGCAGCCCTGCTCGGCCCTGATGAATGTGCGTCTGCGGCGGCTGGCTTAGGACCACACGGGTAGCAAAGTGGCTACCCGCAATTACCAGTGCAAGTTAAAGCATGGTTGCAAAACACGTCGCACCACGTGAGGCCTCAACAGACTCTATTGCATCAGCTGGAGCGACAGCTGAAAGTGCAGCACAGCTGCAGATCAAATTGCAGCCATTTCTCTTGGTCCACGCCTGCCCTTGGCACTCAAGGCAGGAGGAAAATGATCGTTCAGACCGGGTTCCGACGTTCTCTGCAGCACCGCCCCGTGTCAAGCTTGAAGAGACCAGCGCTCAGCGTGACGATAAGGCATGAGGGACCTTGCACGCTTCATCACCTGTTGCTGAAATGCGTTCTGCCTGCAACTGAGGAAGGCTGTTCGCCATCATCAGCCTCCTCTGCTGATGTTAGCAGCTGCTGCAGCTGCAGCATCTGACAAGCACAAGGAGGCAAGGAGCAAGTCCTTTATGACCCTGGCGCTTAGAAGGCCGCATGAAAGAAAGCTGTGGTTCATAATAGGGTGCAAATCGTTGCACACGACTCTTGGAAAATCCTCAAGCACACTAGACCAGAATCAGCCACGTCAGGCTTCGTCGAATTCAAATGACTGCCGGCAATACCCAACCACGAAAGTTAAAGGTCAGATACAATAGGCTGCGGAGCTGAGCTGTTTGCGGATCTTTTATCTGAGCTGGATTGGCTCGAAAAGCCTGCAACTCCAGCGGTGCCATGGTGGTGACAGAAATCCCGGAGCTTGAGAACGGAAGACTGTTCCACCCACTGTGAGGAACAGCAATGCTGTCAACAACGGCTCTTGATGTCTAAAAGCGGGCGCAGCTGAAAGCGACGCTGCCGGAGGCTGGCAATGGGTTTCTTGGTGAACTGCTTATGAAGGGCTGCGTTGCAAGAAACTCTATGCCAGGAATGCGCTCAGGCAGCAAAGCTTCTGAAGTCGGCAGATGTGCTTCTTCTCTTCACAGGATGGTTGCACCCTCTGCTGTTCGCATTGTTTCAGTCAAGCCGCATGCCCTAGACACTCCGAAGGAGCAGGGTTTTCTGCTGACAGTGGGCTGGCAGTCTACGATGATGTCGCAAAGGCTCGGAGGTGTTGGCCGGCTGTGGCGGGATTGGCTCGCTTCTTTGCCCATAGGTGCAGGCTTACGCAGAGCGAGGATTGGACTACATGGACCTTTGTGATCCAAAGCTGGTCTATCAAGAGCCGCCGCTCTTCTGGGGATTCTGGGGCCAGTGCTTCAACGACTACAGGCACTGTCTGCCTTGTTTTTCCATGCTTCGCTGAGAAACCGTCGACGTAATTGTGCTACCGTGAGCGTGTCAAGCTTATCTGACTGTATAAATCCGGGGTAGAACTCAACACACCTTGTATGCCAAAGATGGTCAAGTTAGCATTGCTTTGCCAGGAGGACCGCTCCAAACAAGGGATACCAGATCATCAGTAAGTGGGTGGAGAAGCGCTTTCGAAACTCAGAGGTGGCTGAGCGAATCAGGCGAGGCTTAGGGGAATCTAGCGCTCTAGCGCTTCTCATTTTAGGGTCTGAGAGACCACAGTGCAAAAGCAGATCAGTGGAAGGAGTTCCAATATTTTTTGCATTAAGAAATTGCAGGGCTGGCTTTATCGATGTATGCGGGAATCCATCGTTCCTTGTTTAATGTACGGTAGGGTATTTTCTGGCTTCGGCCCGTTCAATCTTTGTGTCCCAGGTCCAGGATTGCCTCAGCAAAGTCTGTGAAAGCAAAAGACAGCTACACGTCATTTGACGACGTGTCAGCCGAGCCGTATTCGATTTCTGGTCATGCTGGTTCTTTTTACATCTTCACCTCAAATGTCGATGCCCATCATTATGATTGGTTCCTGCCTTGTGAAATACGGGAATGTCACGGAAATCTGGAATTGTATCAATGTTCATTCGGCCGTGCGCGATGTGGGCCAGGCATTTGGAGAGCTCCGCTTGACTTTCGCTTTAATGTCGATTTGGCAACCATGTTAGCCTTTGCCGATGAGCCACCCAAAAAGGAAGACATGGAGTCCATCGGGCTGCCTGTGAGTGCAATGCCTGCGCCTCATGTTGGTTCTGTTTACGGAAGTCTCCGAACTACTACACTGCGCTACATGCCCGAGACGCTCACACCTGCACATTTGGTTGAGCGAGGCTTTGCAGGCAATCACCCAAAATGTGTTCGCTGCAGAGGTCCAGCAAGGCCAGCCATCCTGATGTTTGGTGAGTGGGGTGACCGAGACTGGTTGGACTCCCAGGATCAGGCTTCACGGTGGGCAACCTATTTACAGGCGCTTGGGGAGGAAGCCTCGGCTACGAAAGGCCTCCGCTGCGTTCTCTTGGAGATTGGTGCTGGCGGGCGAGTGCCGACTGTTCGTGAAACGTCTGAGCAGATCCTGGAGATTTTGCTCGAGGGTGGGTCGAAGCCCAAAAACCATAAGTTCTCTAATGATGTTTTTTTCATGCCTCGGGAGCTGAAGCCGCAAGCCCCCCGAAACGCTGTGAGCGTTGTCCTCCCGTGTGCAGGTGCAGCAGATGCTAGTATGATTCGCATAAATCCTGCACATCCGCTTCCTGACGATGAGCTCTTTGGCGAAGCTGGTCGATTTTCCGGGAAGATTTTGAGCTTGTTGGGATCCGGCCTAACTTGCCTCACGATGATCGACGAGCTGATGTGACCTCCTGCTTGTACACTCTGGCCCAGTTGCAGATTCAGAACTCCACGAACTCCACTCAAGATGTGTTGGAGGCTGCGGACTGTGAATCCCGCCATGGGGCGCGACTCTACATTCATCGTCTTCCCGTTCATTCGCTTACCAAGTCTCGACAGCCCAGATGCACACGCCTTTGCAACCTAGAGACTCAGACCTCTACATGGTCTGGATTGCTGCATGCCAAATTCTGCTTGGCAGTAGCAAAGCCCACGCTTTCATTCTCGGAACCCACAACGGCGTCCGTGTTGTAGATGTATGACTCTGCCGCCCGCGCAAGGAAGTAAAGCCAACTCCAAACGTGTGAGATTAGCAAACAAGCTCCAACTACTGGTAGTAGTACTTAGTGGCATTGCTTCACATTGTTCAGGATGCTAATCCTGGAGCTTTCCTACCTGCAGGTTGCTTGCAAGGCCCGGTGCTTTGTGGGCGTGTCTTTCTTTCATGCTGTGAGATATGGCAGGAGTACGGCCGATGGACACGCCCTCTGACAGTGCCATCAGTGCCATCAGCACCAGCACAATCGGCACCAGCGGCACCATCAGCACCAGCGAGGCTAAGCCGAAGCTACGCTGCGCTCTGCGCTCCCTCCTCACAGTGTGCACACATTCCACGTTCTCCACATCTCCGCCAGGGCTCAGACTCCAAGTGCCCAGCCGCGGAGGTGTTTCGTGATGTGTGAAACTCAGCGTGCCAGAGGGGGATTGGCCTTGAAGCTTCTGAAGGAGAGCATGTCGTACCTGCGCAAGAACATGGAGCATCTTCGCCAGCAGAATCGACATCTGCAGCGCCAGGTGCAATTCATCTAGGCGTCATCGTTGCCCTAAGGCTCTAAGATATCCTTAGATAACAGGTGGACAACATGGAGGCGAGAGTGCGGACGGCAGAGGCACAAAAGGAGCAGTACAAAGCGCTCTTCGAGGTGCGCGGTGAAGCAAAACCTCAGAAGCTCAATCGCAACATTGCTACACAGTACTACATGTACTCTATGCGTGTAGATCGTGTTTTTCAAATGTTTTGGCCGGTAGGAGTCCCAAGCGGAAACGTTCGTGCAGGCATCCGGAGAAGGCAGGCATTTGACCTGAGACTGTGTGAAAAGCATCTGTTCGGTCTTGCACAGGACGTGATCTCGAGATAGTTGGATTGCACCAACAGCTGGCTGCCCTACTGATGCTAAAGGACCTACGTGAGAATTCCCACGCTCCAGTGGATGATGTGATGCAAAAAAGGACGCACTGAACGCGGAGAACGTGGAGCTCCAGGACCGGATCCAGGCTGATCCTTTGATCTTCAGACATCCAAAGAATACCTGCTGCTCGATGTGGGTTGAACTTCCATCACTGCATCGGCGTGCACAGGGCATGGAGCAGGTGCAGCACCGTGGCCAAGCCTCCTGCGCCGACTGGTAGCAAGTCTTTGTCATGCCAATCTTGCCGAGTCTTGCCTTGTGGCCCGCATGTTCCTTTTGCGTTGCCTGAGAGCTTACAATAGTTAGCAGTTAGCACTTCCTGTGCTGCATGTCCAGATTTCACACAAGGTCATTTGTATGGAGAACCTAGCCAACGTCGCAAGCTGAGTGGCAGATGGTCATGTCCAAAGCGATGCATGCTGGCTTTCAAATTCTCCCATCTTGCCCGCACCAGTCACACACCTAGGTCGTTTGCTTGCCCTGCAAGCATCTAGCTCTGTGTGCGCCACTGCCCTGGCGAAAAACCTAGCCATGCGGCCTAATGTTGAGTGCGTCTGCAGCCAAGGTTCTGTAGTCAGCAGCTGGCCAGCAGAGACTGTCAAGTTTTTGGGGCTGATGCAAGCAACTAGTCAGACTTGCATCTGCTACTGCCAGGCAAAGCTACGCCGAACGTAGCCAGTGTCCCATTTGCCGGGGCAACATCAGTGAGAGGATGCAAATATACATGCCTTGAGAGGAAAAGTTAGATTACTTAGAGCAGGCCGGAGCACATGTTGGCGGAGTCCGCGCGACTCGGACAGAGCTGGCTGCTTTAGTTCATTTTCAAAACCATTGAGGTCACATACTTCGCATACAAGAAGAAGGAATAACATCAACATTTCCTTGGACCTTGATGGTGGCTAGTTGAGTCAATGCACATCTATGAAGCTGCCCACTGAACTCCTGTGCGCCAGACTAAGAATACAAAGCCACTGCACAGCTGGCACAGTGGAGCGCTTCTCGGCCGCTCGGCCGTCTGCATTTCGGAATTCATCAATGCACCCTTCTGAGTACGAAAAACGGTGCCCAGAAAGGAGCCAAAGCTTGCATCAATTTGCGTGATGCAGGCAAAGGCACACCTTGGGAACTCATTCCTCCAACTACAGACCTCCCTGAACTACAGGACACATTGCATTGGTAGACATCTCATGCTGAAGCATTGGCAAGAGCATACTAGAGATGCCGGGCACTGCCTGCAGGAGCTTAGTTGTTGGTGTCAACAAGTAGCTCAGATCTTGACTGGGCAGCAGTTCACATGTGCACGTTCTGTGCAAACGGTTTGCTATTGGAAGCGAGTTTTGCATAGATCTATGATTCAGATATTCATATGTTTGCTGTCCACGTAATTCAAGCAGAGTTGAGGATGTTGAGGAGGCCCAGGTTAACGATGGCCTGCAGAAGCCTGGCTTGTGCATAGCGGCCTGCCTGGATGGCGAAAACTTTGCTAGTGAGCCATTGTTGCTGTGCAGAGCTACTTGGGCAGCTGCAAGAGCTGTACTCCCTGAGGCGCTCAAACGTAAGCCGGCATGCTGAAAGCTGTGACAGATAGGTTTCTTCAAGACGAAGAAACAGATGGGAGTTTATCAACATCATTCCTCAAGAATCCTTAATACGGACCCCCATCATCCCCTAATACTCCCCATCATCTATTCCTTGGGTCCACAAGCCCCCCGCCTGCTTGTTGAGAAACTCCCAGATGGCAAACGCCAGGATGCCAAGAAGAAGGCGGAGTAGCGATGTGGAGACCAGACTGTCGCTTCAAGAAACTTTGAGGATGTATATGCCTTTGCTGGAAAACGTGGGGATATATGGGGAGAGAATCATGGACAATCAAATGGAAAGTGATATGGACAATGAAATGGACACTATTGGTCCATGTACACATTTTGTGAAATTGGGAAACGTGCAATTTGGGTCTGTTCTCCAAACGGTCCCTATGTAATTCCAAGTCGAGACCCCTATTCGCCTTATCGTCCCTGTATTCTATTCTTGATACTCCTTGTGGCAACAGCCACTATTATTGTTATTTCTTATTAGTACTCTTATCACAGTTCTTCATAGCTTGATGGATCAGTACTAATCGTGCTTATTGAAGCATAATATTAATCCCTGGGGCTCTGCAGTACAGTGCTGAATGTACATAGGATGCTCGTGGCACTACGTGCTGCTTGCTTGCTGAGTCATGGTCATAGCAATATTATGCGTGCTGCAGCCAGAGTTTCACCTCAGATTCAACAAACGTCGGAGAAATGAAGCGTGCAGACAGCAAGCGGTCGACTTGACTCCCGATGGCATTTTGTGAGGAGCGCAATGATGTCCCTGGACCCGAAGAGTTTTACAGGGAGTGCCCGGTGCATTGGGTTTCTCTGTACATCTTGCTTTTAACGTTGAGAAAGCTAATTACCAATTCAGCCGACAGGCTCCTGCAAATCCGTCATACGCCGTGACAACTCAAACTCTAGTCACTAATCGCTTTCTGTTTGTCCCACAGTTCTGCAGAGCGACGCGGTGGATCAGCTACACTTGAATCAGCTATCGCGTGCACCTTTTCAGGTACTGCGCCTCTGATGAGGGCCATGGCAGGCTCCAGAAGTTGCAGCTGTGGCAGAGCTGTGGAGCTGTGGAGCTGTGGCATGGCAGCTGAAGGCCGGTGGTGTTTAGAGGAGCCGCCGCGACCTGGACCTTCGGAAGCACCAAATTTGCATCAGTCGAGTTGGACACTGTGCCGTTGGCAGAGTCGCATGGATCTAATGCCAGCGCAGGAAAGCCATGAAGTGGAGCTCTGATGACTACTTGCTAGAAAGGCCGGACTGGCGGACATCGCGACAGCTTGAACAGAGACTGAAGCAGGTTTGGATCCGAAAAGATATCCGGCGTTGAACATAACTTGAAGGAGACGCGCGCGGGTGGGCAGGCGCAGGGACCCGCAGACTTCTTGTGGCGGACATGCCAGAAGTGTCATGCAGGTTGATGGTATGAGGAAGCTCCGTGACTTCCTTGGTCAGTGACCGCCAACACTTCCTCCTCGGATACTTGTTGGCACGCAGCGTGGGAGGTACAACAGCACTGATATCTACATGGTTTCGGGAGACCTTTCCTCAAGCACCACCGAAGCCTGTGCAGAATGCCGAAGGAGGAGTACATGTGTTTGCCTGAGGTCCCGAAGCAGATGATGAAGGAGGTCGAGTTTCTGCCATGTCTGGAATGTGGTGGGTACGCCTTCGCTCATTTCACCATTTGCCCACTCTTGTCCTATCCTTTTTCTACTTGTATCCTCTTTCTCCTCCTTGTTTCTCTTTCGCTTGCAGAATCGATCCTCAGGTATCTGAAATTCCTAGACACAAACAATTTGTGGATGGGCCGTGGAGGCAGCAAATCAGTGGCGCGCGCCTTGAATCAGTCCCAGCTTATATCCAACAGAGACCAAGCAGTCCATGTGCGAGTACAAACCGCATGCATTAAAAGCATCTACCTTCACCAGGTCCACTACGATGACCAGGATTGCAGATGCACCAAGAGACTTGCATGGATAGTGCCTCAAGCATGGTTTGCAGTGTATCAGAGGCTCACTGGCAAGCTGCCAGGACAACATCAATTGCATGATAGCCGGAGAGAAGCGGTTTGTGTTCATGCACCCATCCTACAAGGAAGCCTTTGAGGCAAATGGCTACATTGTAAAACATCTGATTCCTGCACTCAAAGCTTTTGGACAGCCGCAGATGTCGTATCAGCAGCTGCTCGGGCACGAGTTGGTCAGGCGCATCCCAACACTGCGAAGAATCGGTTTGGCTGGGTGGACACAGATTTAGACAGGCCATGTGCTTAGCCTGCCGCGCTGCCATATGCTGTGACATGCTGTGGCACGGGTCTCTGTTGATCGTTACCGTTACCTCTGCAGCACACTTTAGCTTGGCCTCATGCTTCGTGTGGCCCTCATAGTTTACCGTGCCATGCGCGCTTCAGCCGCCTCTGGGCCCAGTCTGCCAAGTCGAACACTGCAGGTGGGGTGATGTGCCTGTTTTTGATTGAATTGTTACCTTTTGATTTTATCACCTGACGCAATCAGGAAGTTGCCAGGAAGGTCTCGATAGGGTTTCGCTAGGGAAGGGAGCTAGACGTGCTGCAGCCCTACCCAGCAACATCAACCCAAGAAGATGGATGGGTGCAACCGCATTTGAAAGGTGCCTAGCACCGTGCCTGCAACTTCTTCCGGTGCTTCGCGCGGATTTGCCTCAGACCCTTCCAAGGCGCACCGACCGCAGCATGATGCCCGTACTGGATTGGCTAGTTCTGGAAGTATTGTTACTGATGCAGCTACCACTTCAATACTAATTATTAGTATTCCTCTTGCGCTTATTATGGCTAATACGAACACAAATACTACTCGCTTGCAAGCCAAGGTGAGGCCAAACATGTTCAAGAAGGCTGCTGGGAATTGATCGGGGGTCATTGAGGCTTGCCCAGGGACTACCATACTATCCTGTGAGACTCAATCCCACATTTAGATTGTAAAGTAGACATGTGGGTGCTTCAAACGTCTTTCAGAAGGCCACCTTCACTGAGAGACGTCGAGATTTTTGATCAAGTGGCACGTCCCTGGCCTAGGGTCTCTCCGGCGGGCAAAGACAGATCGGGCTTTGGACGGGCATGAGAAGCACGTCACCGGTCTGAAGTAGAAGCTTCCAGTTCGCTTTTGATTTCTTAATGCGCGCTCCCGGATCTTCAGGCTTGTGGCAGAGATGCTGTCACACGTGTCTGGTATGGACTGGGAGCCTTCCAATTTCAGCAAGGCAACGGTACTGCAAATTGTGCCTTTCACAGGACTGGTTTGTCATCGATATGGAGCACTCGCCAAATGAGTTGAGCGACGTCCTACTTCAGCTGCAGGCCGACCGGAGATACCTTGACATTGAATATTTCGTTTGCAAAGTTTGAATCCGAGGTCTACTGCGCTGGTAGCAACTGCCCCATAAGCCAAAAATGCGGTCCAGGCCTCCCAGCGTGGTGATGCAGAGCCTGTTGTACGAGTACCCTGGGCAGAGCCTGTGATCGTGAAGCGCGTGCTTGATCTTGGAGCACAGAGTGCTGCGTCTGAATGTTTGACTTCAATGCCATGTCCTTGCTCCGGCATTTTCCGGCAGCGACTCCAAAGTCAAGGCCTGATCTTCCCCTGGGTGAACACGGCGGAACAGGCCCGAGCAGCAGTGGAGGCCAGGTGCTGTGTGGCCAGTCGAGCATCATCTCAACTCAACTCTGCCCAACCCAAGGCAACACGCTACCCCGGCTTGGGCGGTGTACGCGGCGTGACCCGGCAGGTTGGATTCCGCCAGGTCAAGCTGGGACCAGTATGTATGCCCAGGTGATGAGTCTAGCGCGGATGAACAATTACGGCGCGCAGAACCCTCATTACTACAAGGAACAATGTGCACTCTGTGCAGCAACATTGTGCAGAATATGAGACTTGGCACAGTCATGCACATCAGGAGGCTGCTGGACAGATCTGCGTCCCGTCAGCAATTGAGATATGGAATCAAATCGTCTTTAAGGAATGTCGCGGGATTTCGAAAGCGTCGGCGTACGATCTCGTTCTGAGGCAACATAATGCAGATCGAAACCTTGGAGGCGCCATCTTGTTGACTGTTGCCACATCCAGAGTTTTGTGTGAAAAGGCATGTTCAAGATTGCATTTGAAGCTGGCAGCTGCTCTTTTAATGGCATGCTTCAACCAGAGTGCTTGTAGGCAATGGACAACATCGAGGACGGCACCTTGAATCGCTTGGGCTTGCTTGGTCCTGCTTCCTCATAGGCCATTGCTGCGGTGGATGGCGTGGATGCTTTGTTCGTGGGCCCTAGTGACCTCTCAGCTTCAATGGGCGTATGGCTTAGCAGGAGGTTGCTTATGTTCCTGTCAAAGTAAATCAGCTCGGCAGTCTGAATTTTGCAGAGCTTTCGAGATGCAGCAGTGCATGCAGCGCTGAGGCTTCATTGGTCAGCCGCAGCATCCAGAGGTCAAGGAGCAGATCGAGCGGGCCTTCTCTCGCATAGTGGCCACTGGCAAGGCGCTGCGAGATTGTTTACTGTGATAGGTCACAACAAAAAATTCAGGCAGCTGGATTCCTGACAGCCAACAAGAAAGATGCAAAGTGGGCCTTGCAGTTCCTGACTCAGCATACGTATGCAGTTTTGCTCCTGTTTGGCCGCCGTCGAGCAGCTGATACATGATTCTGCCTCGGAATGAATCCAGGTGCGGCTGCCAGTTTGTGGCCGTTGGAAGTGACATGCAGATGTTGACAACGGCAACAAAGGCCTGCCTTGTTCAGCAAAAGTTGGGACAGTAGAGTTCACAGCAGATGTTCCTAGAGACCTGACTCCTCTTCAGGGTTGTAGGAGCCAAGATAATCTACTGCAAATCCTACTGTAGATTGTTCCGATGACTTGTGCATGTTGAAGGCTGAAAGCACCCTGAGCTTGCATCTGTTAGGATGCCGCGTTGGAATTCCATGACTTTGCCAGCAAGCTCTAGCTCTATCGATGCAAATGTAGCACCCTGAGATTAGTGTGCATTCTGCTGCAATGACTTGAGAAAACCACGGCTCTGTAGAGCGTTTCAGAGCTGGCAGGTGCGAGCACAGCAGCACGCATGGTGCTGGTGGCATTGGTGCTGGTTCCGTTCCCACCCGGCGTGTTTACTGGGCTCACTGCTTTGCAACTTCGTCAGAGCTCTGCGAAAAAGGATCCTGCCAAGCTGCCTGCGATTTGTCACATGCTCTTCCAGGAGGCTTGTTGATTCACCCAGGTCTATACCTGGCTACGGCGCTTTCATGGGAAAGATCGACATAGACAAGATGGATTTGGTGAAGTGCGCGCCATCTTGATTTTTTCTTAGAAGCAAGTGGTCTTGTTTCCTTTAGGTATCCTGGGTGGGTAGATGTCAAGTGGAGCTACGCTGACCTCAAGCCTGGTGATTGTGTCTCGTCGCAGTTTGGATAGTAGAGTGGGAAACGTCTTTGCTGCAGTTCAACTCAGTTCCCCTCCTAATGTGTCTGCTTGTTGGCGAAGCCTGTCTCCAGACTGGAAGAGAGATGCATGAGGTGCGTGTAGTGGGCTACCAGCTGCAACAGAACCGCTGGGTCAAGGCGGCTCCTGTAAGGCCATCTTGGCCGCTTGCAGCTGCAGACGCAAACATGCACGCACGCAATTGCGCGCACAGGAGAAGTGACAGAGAATTTTCCTGTTACGCAAGCTGGACACACTGTGCGCCTCCGCACATTGAGAACAAGGGCACAACATGGCACAACTTAATTCAGTGCATCTTGTTACTTCGGGCGTGCCGGCCGCCCGAAACAGTTCAATCAGCAATCCAACCTGGCGCGAAGGCTTCAACCAGTGAGTGATAGCCGGGAGTTGGGACTTCATCTTGAAACGGCGTTCTCCTAAAATGTTTGTGGCTTGTGCCATCTCGTGCCATAGCTGCCTCTGGCGTCGTGGATATGAAGGCCAGGGAGAGAGCTCGACCTTTCTTTTGGGTTTAGAGGGATGAACATGCTCGATGCATGCTCATGGTCCAATCTTGTCCTGTGAATAGCTCTCATCTGCTTGGCTTTTATGCCGTTCCTGGCATGCTTTGGTTTGCGTTCTTGGATATCCAAGCTCTTGTTCTGGATGCGAACGGGAATTGGCTGACCAGAAAGTTTCGCGCAGTAGGCGGCAGGGGAGTGGAACGTAAATGAAAGTACGTACGTCAACCTAGGGGACAACTTCTGTCTGGCTACAGCTGCTCAGTGTTGCTTAGCTTCCAGCGAAAAACCGTGGTTTGTATGTGCTTCTCTTTCTGTCGAGGACTTTTGCTTGAAGTGACTGGCATGGTGACTTTGCTGAGGCTTGTACATCCCCTTCCAATGGCCGCACCCTCAGCTAAGAGGCACATTCTGGTATCACGCTACAAAAGCAGCTGATAATGTAACAGCAGCAAGAGCAGAGCGCCCTACTACCCCTAGTAGCAGGTACCACCAGGTGACTGCCAAAAAGGGTCGTTCCATCAATGTCCACATCTGGCCATGGGCTTAATTTGTGGACTTGTGGGCAGGATCCTATAACTAGCTGGCATCTTGGCACCTTTTCAGAGGTACTGGAGGCCTGCAAAATTCGATGTTGCAAGCTGTGATTCAAAGGACCTTGTGCAGAAGGTTTGGCTAACTTTCCAGAAGCACTAGCTTACCCCCAGGACAAGGAGCAACGTACGCCGACCACCTTTGCAGATTGCAGCTGGGGCTACGAGCCTAATGGGGTGATTCGGACGTGTTTGCTTGGTTGCAAGCGAGCTGCTTCTCAGTGTTGGCTGGGTGTATGCATCCCCCCTCGTCCTGGCAGGGACATCTGGGCAAAGCGCAGAAGGGATGGAAGAAGCCTACAAAATGCAAGAAGGCTTCGGGAGCAGGAAACTCCAGACGTCTCCAAGTTCAATATTCCGACACGCATCATATCATGTAGCTGAGACGCTTGCAAGACAAAATGATACTTCAACGTGCCGAGTCTGTCGAGCACTTACAATCAGTCGATTGCAGGCCAGGAATCCCCAGGAGTTGTGACCCTCCACGCCCTCCTCAACTCTGCCAAGATGGCACCCTGGTTGCTAAGTTGCGACGGAACATGCACCTTTTCACAATGCCCTTCTGACAGCTTGAGGCCGCAGACGGCCTGCCGCACATGAGCTGGCTGTGCCCGAAGCAAACTTGGGCATGCTTGATAAATAATTCCTTTCGCATCTTCTGCAAAGCACCGCAGGCACCTGAGCCTTCCAGCACTTCCAGCATCAGGACGTGCGCGCTCGAATGTTTCCTTCCGCAGCCGCGTTGCCCTAGCGATTCAGCGTCCCCTGGCCATAGCAGGGGGCCGGCGGCACTTCAGCAATGCTCAGTGCCGCTCGTCGTGTGCTGAGCGGGGCAGCCAGGCTTACTCCGAAGCCGCAAAGTTGGCAGCCAGCAGTGCCCGCCACTGCAGGATGCCAGCTCGAAGCCAGGCGTGGCTATCGCCACTGGTGGCGTGTGCTACCCGAAGATTTCGAGTTGAACTCAGAGTCAATGCCGAAGGATGTGAAATCACTTATGGCCAGCAACCCCTACAACCTTGGCTTCATTGATGCATACTGGTACTGGCGAATTCGTGCTGAAAGTACCATGATGGATCCTGAGAACTTGCCAAAGAAGTCCTACAAGCAGCTCTGCCGTGACATGGGCCTCACCATCGTAAACGAGCAGGCTGAGAATCTGCTTGGCATCATCGAGCTGTACGAGTACCTCAAGTCATCCCCATTCATCGGTCCGTTTGGCACAATTGAAAACCCAGTGCTTGTTCCTGCCATCCACACAGAGAGAATCGTCGGCTGCACCGGTGGCACTGGCGACAACGAACATGTGCCCTTGTGGTTCCGCTGCCGGGAAGGCTTCCTCTATCGATGCGGCGAGTGTGATCAAATCTTCATGTTGGTGAGAGTGCTGTACGAGCTGCCAGAAGAGGGTGTTGAGATAAACCCCATCGATCCGGATGTGAAGGATGTCTTTGACTTTGCTCTTCTGGAGAAGGGCAACGAGGTTTGGAACACTGGTGGCATGATCAACTGGCCAACCGGCTACGACGCCTTGCATGGCACGGTGTATGGCGGAATGGCCCGAGATGAAGATCAGCGTGCCATTGGGGAGTGAGAGTGAGCTCGTGATAGTCATTGTTCAACCGCCTAACATCGCAGAAACCAGCGCTTTTATTGACCCTGTGCGGGTAACATACCGCTTGCCAAATCCCTGCAATCATCTTCTTACCCTCACCACATGACGTATTTCTAGACATGTACTGGTACTGACATTTGATACTGACAAGTTAAGTTTCGCACTCGAAGACAGATGGACCAAAATTGACGTGTCGCACCTTTGTTGCTCTGCAGCCTCATTTGTCAGAGCAGTTTGGAGACTCGCAATGAAGCGTGTTCCTCCGCTTGGGCTCGAAGCTTCTTACTCTAATCAGGTCTTCTGGGCAAGAGGAGCCCACGCTTTCATTTCTAGCTGTGGCCTCAGCAGCAGAGAGTTTATTCCATTGTCACGATATAAGATGTTTCAGGTCGCATCATCATGGCGTTGTGGAGGCAATTGTGCCTTCTGTGTGCTCTGCCACTCGTTTGCATGTAGCGCACTGCCAGGTTGACATGGGCAACGGTTTTGGTGACTATGACCACTGCTCAACTCATGCGCAGGGACAAGCCCAAGAGGGAATCAGGGGCTGTTCACTTGCAAGCATCACTGCGTCACGCACTGGTAAAAGTCTCGGCGGATCGTTTACTACATGTTGAACAAAGTCTCCGTCCTAGTTATGAGGCATTTCCAAAAGATGCGCGTGGCAATCTGCCGCCTCACCAGGTCTTGCCAGCTCTGACGCGTGCTTACTTTGCAAAGGAGCATGGTTGGCTTGTCCGTGGCCTGGAAACTCCAGGGGCACCAATCATAGCTCCTGGCGAGTCTCACCAGGATGCACATGTGGCTGTCACGGGTGGTGGGCTCTATGAGGCCCAGATTTTGAAGAGCAAGGCGCCAGAGCTTGCTGCCGCCTTGAAAGATGCGGCTTTAGCACCAGCTGCATCCTCAGCCGGCTTATCTTTGGGAGACATTTCGCGCACCATTGCTGCGTTGGAGCAACTGCTGCTGGAAGAGTCTCTGCCGCTGTTGCGCGCCTCGTACTACCTCAACGGCTTTCTTGACCCCATGGCCGAATTGCCCCCTGCTTTGGAGGAGTCGCAGGTTCAGGAAGCTCTTCTGTCCTACCTTCTGCTTTTCCGGCACGGGCTGCCCAGAAATTTAACGGACATTGAGTCGCACCAACGCATGAAGCAGCGCGCGAAGAAGACGGCAGACTGGCCACTTCTCTTGCACTTCGAGAGTCAAGTTCTACATGAGATCGTGCCAAATCCATCTGGCAAGATTTCTTGGACACAGGCCAGTGATGCTGTTTCAGCGGTTGCAATGCGATATGGGCGCTGGCAGCAGTCGGAGTGCGAGGACATGAAGTCAACTTTGATGAAGATGGACACGGGGGCTGGCCGAGTCCGGCTTGAAGACTTTCATGGCTCCCCAAAGTATCCGCACTACCAGTTCACTGAAAGAGAAGACTACTTGAGAAAGGCGGGCATTCTCGTGAATGAGGAGGCCGATCAGTATGTCTTGATCGCAAATTATCTGCTTGGACCATCCAACTGCATTGCATCTTCCGAGTACTTTGCAGTTTGCTGCTTGAATGAGTGCGAGGAAGTTATGAATCGCTTTGAAGCAATCTTGCGGGCTCCTGCAGCCACAGTTGCGCAAATCATGGATGCCGCCGCGAGCGTGCATGGCAATTTCTCCCAGCTTCGCTCAGGGCTAGAAGAGGGTCTTCACTCGCTGTTGGACAACACTGGTGCGGTTGTGTTGCATTCCCCTGGCTTCCGCAAGTGGCTCCATGAGGCCTTCTGAACATGTGTGTGCAGTCACGTGACTTCTCATGACGGTACATTTTGACCAGTGTTTTTTTGCATGCAGTGTCCTGAGTCGCCAGTCTTGGGCAGGCCTTTCCGTTGGAGTGCCCGCGCCTTACGGCACAAGAGGACGCGGCCGAGGAAGCAGAACTTGCGGAAGCCCGAGAGTGGTTGGAGATGGATGAAGCTGCGAGACAGAAATGGCAGCCACTGGTGCTCCATCCCTCTGAGTGCACTCGGGTTCCTGAATGGCATACTGAAGGGCTTGCTGAAGAAGCTCCCCCTGCAATGCCTGCTGCGATGCTGGAGGTCTAGAGGTGTTGACATAGCCACTTTGAGATGCCTTCAGCGAAAAGCTTGCTGCACTTCGTCGTCTGCCATACAAGGTGATGGGGAGGTCTGAGCATGTGCGCCGATTCTGCCGATTCCGCAGGGCCTGTATTCGGACGGTTTCGAAATTTCTGAAAGTCATTAGTTTATGGCTGTACACGCCTACGTACTCACCTAGAGATCCTCGAAGTTTTGGGCTGCAGAACAAAGAACAACTCGCACTGATGCACCGCAATGGTGCCCTGCACGCGGCCGATCTAGCAATGTCTCCGAAGCTGCGGGTGACATGAAGCAAGGAAGATGAAGATCCAGGACCATCTCAGATTCTCAGGGATCCTCTCTCAGCTTTGTTTTCTACAGCGGATGTGTCAGGAGGCTCAGACCAGAACCCATGGCGAGGTGCAAGCCTTAGAGTTCGTGATGAACTTGTCAGAACTCTATTGACCTTTATTCGTCGACTGGTTGTCAGGGTATGCTGGCATGGGCACGTCTTCATGGCGTGAAGGCCTCTCCAAAGGCTGGAGCGGCTCGCACAAGTCTTCCAATAGCCAGCTGCATCGTGCCCTGCCTTAAAGGTTGACTTCTTTTCTCAGTGTGCTCCACCAAGCCAGGCACAGATCTGGTGGGATGTTAAGCTTGACAGGGAGAGCACCTTGACAAGGGCTAGCAGTGAGTGAGTCAAGCATGCCTGGGACCTCGAACTGTCGGAGTCCGGGAGACTGTTGGATTCAAAGCTGCCTTTCTGATTCGGAAGCTCTACAGACATAACGCCAGCTTTGCATCCGTGGTAGCATCTTTCGTGGGATCCGTTTGATTGACATTGCTCTCAACATTGTCGGGCTTTTATCTGGGCTGGACAGTGGCTGCCGATCTTTTCAGATATATTAACTAACGATTGTCGTTTCAAAGCATAACCATGATAGTCATGATCTGACAGAGAGGTTTGGCCCTGCAAGATAGACTTTGCAGAATAGCCATGAAAAGCACTTTCTCCAATCTACAACGTTCCCCAGAATGCCAATAGATAGGACTTTACCAGCATTCGCCTCAGCCCCAGGGCTTTGGCGCCCGAGCACTTGAACCTATTGCAGCAGGCGAGCTGCTGCTCACGCCTCAGCACAGGAACGATGCACAAAAAGCTTCTGCATCTTCTTGTACAAGTTATTAGTACTTTGACTGTTATGACTATTGCCACTAATGCCATAATTTTGCTGTTGTCATTAATAACATGACTGTTATCCTTGCTACTACCGTTCTTTGGACGACTTCTAACAAACTGAGCGCGATTTCTATCACTGTGTAGGGGGTTGAATTTTTGTGGGAAGGGTCAGCTGCTTCAGTGAACATGCCTTATGGTAAGTGTCCTTCCCCAAGCATCCGATCAAATTGGAACACGCTCTTATCATATGGTGGTTTCCGCAAATGGAGGGCTCCAACATAAACTCCAACACAAGACGCTCCTAATTACTAGTATACACCCCCAAAGCTTGGCAACCCCCGTGTGGACAAGCCTGTGTATTCTATTCTTAGCAGATTACTGTTCCCATTTTTGCTATTATTGCGATCAGTAGTTGTGGTTTTATTGCTATCCTTGACCAGAGACTTGCCTGGCCCAAGTCGGTTGCAAATGTCGGAGCCGCAAAGCTTGGCATGATCAGCACATGACCCAATGCTTAGGAATGTTTTGGATTGGGGTTTCTATTAGGGCCCTCTACCACATTAAGTTGTTGCTAGCCAGATGCTAACCACTAGTGTAAGAGCCCCCTTACAACTGGCGTTTACGGACAACGGAATAATGGAAACTACTACGTGAAAGTAGGGTACATATATATATATATATTTAATG